GCGCCCGCCACCGCCCTACCGCGCGCGTCCGTCGTCCGTCGCTGTCGCCGCGTCCTCGATCGCCCCCTCCGCGTCCCCGTCGCCGCGTCCACGACGTCCACGCGCGCGATCGTCGTCCCCCGCGCGCGCGCTGTCGACGCACGCCGCCGCGCGCGCGATCGTCACCCACGCCGACGCGCGCGCGATCGCGCGGGCGCGCGCGCGGGCGACCGCGAGACGCCGTCGCGTGATGACGCGGATCGCCATCGATGCGTTCGCGTCGAGGCGCGCGCGATGGGCGTCGCGCGTCGTACTCGAGCACGTCCGTGAGCCATGTATCGGTGTCGCGATCGCCCCGAGGGTGGGCACGGCTAAACCCTACCTCGCGCGGGCACGCCTAAACACCCGATATCGAGCGATGCGCGACGATTCGCGGCGCGCGACGACGAAGCCATGCGCGCGTGCGCGCGCGCGGTGACGCGACGATGGCGCCCGGGACGATGGACGCGCGCGTCGTTCGGTGACGGTGGCGCGCGGGCGCCGGCGATCGGCGCGGATGGGGACGATGACGCGCGAGACGTGGGTGAATGCGCGTGGACGCGGCGACCGCGGCGGCGGACGTACGCGACGTCGCGGACGGAGGACGGCGACGACGGCGCGCCGCGGACGATGGTGCCGTGGAATCGAACGGTGATCTCCGGGGTGGAGCTGCTAAGGAGTGGGAGGTATAATAAAGGCATGAGCTTCGCGCGGGACGAGCGGGATCGATTGAACCTGCGCGGGTTGCTCCCGCCGGCGGTGTTCGATCAGGCGACGCAGGTTGAACGCGTGATCGAGCGGTTGCGACGCGTGACGAGTGGGGTGGAGAAGCACGCGTGGTTGGCGGCGTTGTACGAGCGGAACGAGCGGTTGTTTTATCGCGTGGTGAAGGATCACTTGGAGGAACTGCTTCCGGTGCTCGCCGAGCCGACGGTGTGGCAGGTGTGTCGCGAGGCTGGATTGATGTATCGTCAACCCAGAGGTTTATACGTGTCGATGCAAGATAAGGGGTCGGTGTATCGGTTGCTGAAGAATTGGCCGGTGAGGAACGTCAAAGCGGTGGTGCTCACGGACGGGCAGCGCGTGACGGGAATCGGCGATTTGGGCGTGCAGGGAATGCCCGCGGCGGTGAGTAAGGCGTCGCTCTTCACCGCGCTCGGGGGATTAGATCCCGCGGACGTGTTGCCGATATGTATAGACGTCGGCACCGATAATCAAACTCTGCTCGAGGACAAGTTTTACATCGGGTTGAGACAGAAGCGCGTCGGCGGAGAGGCGTACGAGGAGTTGTTGGATGAAGTCGTCTCCGGCTTGAAGCGACGATTCGGACCGCGCGTGCTTTTGTGTTTCGAGGAGTTCTCGAACGCGAACGCCAAAAAGCTACTCAGTAGATATAACCGCGACTCAGTGGCGTACGTTGACGATCTGCAAGGCGTCGCGGCGATAACCTTGGCGGCGGTCATCTCCTCGCTGCCGCGTATGGGCGGGTCTCTGCTCGATCAGAGGTTTCTCTTCGCGGGCGCGGGCGAGACCGGGGCGCACGCCGCTGATTTACTTGCGACGTACATCGCCCAAGAACACGGGATCACGCTTCCCGAGGCGAGAAAGAACATGTACTTCATCGACAGAAAGGGATTGCTCACGCGAAGACGCGCCGAGCAAGAGGACGATTTGGAGTTCCACAAGTTGCCGTACGCGCACGACATTCCGGACGGATGCGGGAAGACGGTGTTAGAGTCGGTAGAGCTCCTCAAACCCACGGCGTTGATCGGCGTTCGTAGGCATCGTTTCTCATTCTTCGAGGGCTCCAAGCTCTGCGACGAAAAGCTCTTCACTACGGACGTTCTCGGCGCGATGGCCAAGCACACCGAGCGGCCGCTCATCATGGCGCTATCGCGTCCCGCCGCGCTCCACGAGTGTACTGCAGAGGAGGCGTACGCGGCGACCGACGGTCGGTGCATATTTGTCGGTGCTTGCCGCTCGACATCGTTTGAGTTTGGCGGACGAACGATTTCGCCATCCGAGTGCAGCACGGATTACATTTATCCCGGACTCGGCCTCGGTCTGGCGATTGCCGAGGGTACGCGACTTCGTGATTCGCTCATTATCGAAGCCGCACAAGCCGTGGCTGCGTCTACAACAGACGCCGACATCGACCAAGGCGCGGTATTCCCACGAAAGCGTCTCATTCCAGATGTGAGCGCGCGTGTCGCCGCGCGCGTCGCTTCCAAAGCCTTCGCGAGCGGCTTATCGGCGTTACCCGTGAAACCAAAAGGTGATTGGCTCGGACTCGCCAAATCGTGGATGTTCGACCCCACGTACCGACCGTACACCCACTGAGTGCACGGATTGTAAAAACCGTCGTCGTCGCTCCACGCCTCACACCACGGCGGATCTCCAACGAGATGCCCTTTAGGCTGCCCCGCGCGCGTCCCCTATACCTCGGAATCCTCTTCGGTGTATTCAGCGCACTCGTCGCGTGCGCCGTGGCCGCCTCCGAGGTCGCGCGCGGCGCGAGAGAGCGCACGCCCGGGGAAAAACTCACGTTTACACTCGAACACTCCATCGATGGGAAAACGTTCACGGCGACGGGCGTCGTCCACAGCAAACTCGCGGTCGATCGCTCGGACGCGCGAAACTTTCGATTGAGCGCCCCAAAGGCGGAGCGTGAGAGATTGAGCGAGAGCGACGCGGAGAAGCTGAACGCGCTCGCGAAGGCGGGCGGAACGTACCGGGTGCGCGCGCCGAGCGACTTGACGAATTCGGAGAGCGGGAAATGGGTCATGGCGAGCGTGGACGCGAGATGTTTGTTAGATGGAGGGTTGGAAGACGTCTTGACCGTGCACGCAGACGATCGGGGGAGGGCGTACGGGATCGAGTACGCGACGGCGCGCGGCGGGTGCGGCGGCGAGCGAAACGGAGGCGCGGAGCAAAAGGTAAAGACGGGCGCGATGTTTCGAACGACGGTACAGGTCAGAGTCGGTAAAGACGCACCAGGGTTGAACCCGAACGCGCCCACGGACGTTCGAGGGCACAGCGCGCCAGCGACGGGGAAACAAAAGGAGGCGGAGAAGAGGCGCGAGGCGGAGCGTCTAGCAAAGGAAAGACGCGACGGCGCGATGCCTCCGAGCGAGAAACGAACGGAGACCTTCTTCCAGAAACATTGGATGAGAATCATGTTGATGGCTTACGTGGCGGCGTACCTGTGCGCGCCGCAAGACGCGAACGCGCGCGCGGGGGCGCAGCGCCGCCTGGACGCGATGAAAGCGAAGAAAAGACGATGATGAATAAAGAGAACGATTCAGTCTCATGTTTTACACTCTCCGATCGCGCTCATTCACGATCTCGACCATCTCTCCGCTCCCGTCGTTCGGCCCTATCTCGCCTCGGGCCCCGCGCGCGGAGACGCCTCGCCCGACCCCGACAACCCGTTCAGCTCCTCGCCCAGCTTGGTCACCGTCTTCTCTATTCCGCTCTCCGCCTCGCTACTGAAGTTATCGATCGCCGAATTCAACGCCGCGATCTTCTCGTTCAAGTTCCGCCGCGTCGACTCGAGCTCGTCCTCGCTCTCTTCGTCCAGCGCCTTGCTCAGCGCGCGCTTCCCCCCCAGCAACGTCTTACTGAGCTGCGGCGCGAATAAGAACCCGAGCGCGCCGAACACGGCGCCACCGACGAGCAATCCACCGATGAACCCTTTCCCACCGCGTCCATCCGCGTTCTCGCCCTCGGCGCGACGCGCGAGGCGTCGCGCGCGCGGCACCATCACCCGCGCATCCCGAGGATTCCTTCGACATTCTCCACGTCGTCCCTCGAGGCGTCGCGCGCGCGCCGGCGTCGCCCGCGCGCGCGGGAGCACGTCGAACGCGCGCATCGTCCGAGCGCGCGCGCGTCCACCGCGGCCGTGCGCGCGCGTGTGCCGTCGACGACGCGCATCGTCCACGTCCTCGGGTATCACATACCGATATATCCCACTGTATACGCGCACCATAAACACCCGCGGTGTGTTTCTCGGACACGCGGCGCGTGTTCCACCGCGGTGTGCTCTGTGTGACGACGGAGATATCCACCGACGCGGCGCCGACGCGAACGC